CTCCCTCCCCACCTCAGCCTCCCTCCCCACCTCCTCCACCTCAGCTCAGCTGTGGCTGCCCCTCCTAGGGGAGGGGGGAACAGCCTGGCCCTGGCAACTCTGGCCTCACACACACACACCAACCCTCTCGCACAGCAGTACCAGTGAAGGCAGCACCCAGCCGCCGGCGTTAGAGCTGGGTCCTGGCGAGTACCGGGTGCTCTTGTGTGTAGACATCGGGGAGGCCAAGGGGTAAGTGAGGGGGGCTGTGGGAGAGGATGCAGGGGTGGCGCGGTCTGCCCTGCCCTTACCTGCCTCGCCGCAACCCCAGGGCCGGGCACAGGCCGGAGCTGCTTCGGGAGCTGCAGCGGCTGCACGTGAGCCACTCGGTGCGCAAGCTGCACGTGGGGGACTTCGTGTGGGTGGCACAGGAGACGAGGCCCAGAGACCCGGGTAAGGGGCGTGGGCGGATGGCGGGTGTCGGGGGCCACCTGACAGGTGGACCTGAGCCAGGCCACGAGCCCAGGGGACCCTCCCGGCCTCTTGGCAGCGAGCCCTGGGGAGCTGGTCCTAGACCACATCGTGGAGCGCAAGCGGCTGGATGACCTGTGCAGCAGTATCATCGACGGCCGCTTCCGGGAGCAGAAGGTGCCTCATGCCCTGCCTCTCCCACACGGAATCCCGGGGCACCTCTGGGTGGCCTGGAGGCGGGTCTCCTGGGGCTCCAGCCGCACTCCCATCGAGCTGCGCAGGGCAGCCCCCAACTCGGACCCCGCAGGCACTGCCAGGAGAGCCTCGTTGCGTGGAGTCTGAGCGGGGCAAGCACGTTAGAACCCTGGGAGTCAGCCCTGCAGCCAGGAGTCCAGGAGAGGAGCCAAAGTGGCCGATCTCATGTCGGCTGCTGGGCTGAGGAGACCACTGGGGCGCTGTCCACGTTACTGCAAACAAAGCAAGTGTGAAAAGCACCAGCACTGGCACGGGCTTCCCACTCCAGATGAGAGCAGGAGCTAAGGCGAACCGGCCCCTCCGAGACAGGAGGGGCGAGCAGGTGGGGCAGGGCCTGTGACGCTGAGTGTGCTGGTACCTTGCCCATCCCCTCCAGTTCCGGCTGAAGCGCTGCGGTCTGAGGCGCCGAGTATACCTGGTGGAGGAGCACGGCTCGGCACGCCACCTCAGCCTTCCCGAGAGCACGCTGCTGCAGGCTGTCACCAACACGCAGGTGAGCGGGGCACTGAGCCCGGGTGGGCCGCGGCCGTGTGGTCTGTGGCCTACGCCAGGAGCCAGGTCCCGCCTCGCGTCGTCCTCTCTAGGTTATTGACGGCTTCTTCGTGAAGCGCACCGCTGACATTAAGGAGTCAGCTGCCTACCTGGCCCTCTTGACGCGGGGCCTGCAGAGACTCTACCAGGTGAGCAGGGCATCTGCCTGGCACTGACTGATCAGCTGGGCCTTGGGCGCCTCCAGGCAGAGAGGTGGGCAGGAACCCACCAGACAGGAACTGGCCAGGGTCGTCCCCTGGGGTTCTGGGCTGGTGTCAGCTCCCTCTTTCATCAGGGCCACACCCTACGAAGTCGCCCTTGGGGAACCTCAGGGGACCCTGAATCCGGGACTGGCCGCTTGCCAAACCCTCTCTGCTCGCTCCTCACCTTCACCGACTTCAATGCGGGAGCGGTCAAGAACAAGGTACTTCCCTGCAGGCAGCGTCTCCTAATGTCCAGCCCAGGCCACACCCGTCCTCCCCGCCCAGGCCCCCGACATGGTGCTCCCTGCTTCAGGCCCAGTCAGTGCGGGAGGTGTTTGCCCGGCAGCTGATGCAGGTACGCGGAGTGAGTGGGGAGAAGGCAGCAGCCTTGGTGGATCGGTACAGCACCCCCGCCAGGTAAACCCCCCTGCGGGATTTCGCACAAGTAGCACTCGCGGAGGCTTCTGGCTCTGGGGGAGCTGGATATCACCAGAAATGACAGACCCAGGGGCTGGCGGAGGCCGGGTAGTGGTGAAGAGCCACAGGGACCTGGGGCACTGGGGGAGGCCACAGAAGAGGGGTCCCCACTGCCGGCTGCGGCAGAGAAGGCTGAGGGCAGGGGTCTGGGCCGGAAGCTCGGGCCAGGAGTGGTGGGCTTGGAGGGCACTTGCTGGCTCTGCCCCGGGGCTGCTGCCGGGAAGGAGGGTGAGCAGGATGGAGCAGGGCCTTGAGTGCCAGGCTCAGGAAATGAGCCCCTCCCCCTGGCTGGCTCCTTCCTGCCTGGCCCCTTCCTGCTGGTCCTCATGGTGCAGGTCCAGGTCACTCAGACTGGGCCAGCAGCCCCCAAAACGCAAATACCCCACCCCACCCCCAGCCTCCTTGCTGCCTATGATGCCTGTGCCACCCCCAAGGAACAGGAGGCGCTGCTGAGCACCATCAAGTGTGGGCGCCTGCAGAGGTGAGTGCAAGGGGCTGGACCTGGTGTGAGGGGCAGTGCTGCCCCGGGGCCTGACCTCACCAGCCTTTGTCTTCCTGCAGGAACCTGGGGCCCGCTCTGAGCAGGACCTTGTTTCAGCTCTACTGCACCCAAGGGCCCCTGAGCTGAGCCTGCCCCGCCTTGCCCGTGCCACCAGGCTACTCCGCCTTTTAACCGGAATCTTTTGGGTATAATAAAAATCTTGGTGTTCGCATCTGCATGTCAGGTGTAAAGCTCCCAGACAGGAATGGGGGAGGCCATCGGTTACCCTAGATTTTCAACTGAGCACCTCAGAACCCAGGAGACCCTGGTGGAGCAGAGACGCCAGGCAGAAGGGAGTCAGAGGCATCGCAACTTTGAATCTACTTTATGTCATCAGATGGTCCCTGAAGAAATAAATTTCCTTTAACAAGACATTCTAGAGCTCGGAGAGGACAAGTTTGAAAAGCACTAACAGTCTAGGCGCCTTGTGTGACGGATGGCAGCATGAGGCCCAGGAAGCTGCTAGGGTTCGTCCAGTCGATGGTGTGACGCCAAGTGAGGAGTGAAGCCAGGACCCCCGGCGGCTGCAAAGCGCGGTTCCGAGCCCCCTGCCAGCCCAGATGTCTGCTCTGGGGCCTGGAGTCCACAGCCTCCCGCTCTCTGCCCCTCGGGTGACCCCGCCGGGTCCCCCCAGTGGGCTCTTCTGCCTTGAGCGAACCTGCCCTACCTCCGGCAGGTGGGCCCCTCCCCCAGCCCGGGGCTCATACAGTGTCCCCCCTCGGCCACCAGGACTCCTCTCTCCTTTGTTGCCTTTCTACGCTTCACAATAGCTTCTTTCCTTTTAGCAGAATGCGGCCATCGCTGAGCCCCGAGCTCCTTGGCTGCAGGGAACCTCCCCTCCCTGGCGGGTCCCCCACCCATTCTCAGAAGGTGTAGGCCCCCACGAAGACAGTGAGTCTCAGCACGGAGCTGGCCCGGTAGCTCATGAGGGAGTTCATGGTGACCATCTCGAGGTCCAGCACGTACTCCCGGGGGCCCGTCACCGGCCGGGCAAGGACCAGCATGGCGCTGACATTGTTGATTTGCTGCAGGGGACACAGCATGTCACCAGTGTGCCAGGACTGACCCCAGCACCACCCCCCTGCCCCAGCTGCCTGTTGGCTGTGAGGTGACGAGAGTCTCGAGCCCATTCGGGTCGAGCCCAGGCTCCCACCCGGCTGGGATCCCTCCCACGCCGCGCTTCCCCTCCTTCCTAGCTGGTGCTTTTGCCTAACCAGAGTCAACTGATGAGTCAAAGCCCAGTGTGAGGCCCTCGGGAGCCGGGTGGCCCTTGGGGGCAGGGGGCAGGTCAACTATCCCTCAAAGTTCAGTTTCAGAAAGGAAGAAACCCGGGCCTCCCTGGAGGAGCCACGGGTCAGGGTGCAGCACAGCAAACTGGCCACAGCCACTGCCGTGCAAGTTTGATCCCGGCCAGGGAGCTGACCCAGGGCGCGGCAGACCTCCTGACACCCCGCTGACACCCCGCTGCTCCCCTCACCAGTGCGCTTAGTCAATCTGCCTGCTCTGCTCCCCACTCTGTAGCATCCACTCGCCACCCCTGCACCTCTGGCCTGTACCCCAGTTCTGCATGCATAAATAAATAAATCTAAAATTTTGTTTAAAAGAAAGGAGAAAACCCTTGCGCTGCTCTCAGTGAAGCACCGCTGCACCCCTTGCTCCCCACAGCTCTGCCTGGCCTCGCACCCAGCCCCAGCGCAGCTGCCTCCCTTCAAGGCCCAGCTGCACTTGACTGTCCTTCCCCAACTCCTGAACGCCTCTCCCGCCACCTCCTTGTTTACGGGGTGAAGAAGCTGAGGCCAGACACCTAGGCCAGCACCAGGACTCGACCCCCGGTGTCCCACTGCCTCCTTAGGCTCGCATTTGACTACCTACTCGACAACCCACCGTGTGCACCAAGGGGCCGTGTGACATCCCTCCCTTTGTAGCTTCTACCGCGGTCCCACCCCCAAGGTTTGGATTCCGCCTCTGCATCGAGGGGTGGGAGTGGGGGCGTCTTACCCTAATGTAGAAGTCCTCCTGCGCGTTCCCGGCGCGGATCTGGAAGGCGTTGTAGGCGCCGGGGTAGACCGAGGTGGCCTGGATCTGGAACACGTCGGCCGGCACGCTGCGCTCCGAGGTGATGCTCATGTAGCGGTGCACGATGGACGAGGGCTGCTCCCGGCACAAGGGGTTGGAGGCCGGGCAGAGACAGCGGCTGCGGGCCGGACAAGGGGAGCCAATGAGGTCGGAGCCTGGGGCCCCAAAAGGCTCCTCCCCATCCCGCCGCAGCACCGCAGCACCTTGCCCACGGTGGGGTGGATGTCCACGCCAGCCTTTCCCACCCCCCCACCGGTCGGCCGCAGAGCCTTCTGGGAGTTGTAGTTCCTGGGGCGCCTGGCCTGCGGACTCACTTGTCAGACACCTGCACGTAGGGCTCCACACAGCGGTTGGTGTCCACGCAGCGGTAGCCCCCGTGGAAGTTGACGCAGGTTTGGGCCTCGGAGCACTGGGGCTCCCCTGACTCGCACTCGTCGATGTCTGTGCCAGGGGACAGGGGCTGGAACCCGGAAGCCGCCAACCCTGCACCCTGGTCCCTGCCGTGGACATCCCGTACCTTGGCAGAGGCGGGTGGCCAGCAGCTGGTAGCCCTGCGGGCAGTGGCAGGAGAAGCGGCCCGGCTCGTTGACGCAGCGATACTGGCAGAGGTAACTGGAGTAGCTGCATTCGTCAATATCTGCCAAGAGTGTGGACCCGCAAGCCCTCAGTGCCGGCCCTCACCCTTACGGGAGGACGGCCCCTGGTGGCTCAGTGTGGGCAGACGGAGGAGGACTGCCCCCCACAGAGCTCACTGGGGGACAGAGCAGTCTCTCCAGGCCGCCCAGCTTCCAGACGCCCTCTCTGTGCCCCAGGATTATTAAATGATACTAAACGAACGCCCTGGGAATCTGGAGGCTTGCTCCAACTCGCTGCTCTGGGTTTCGGGCCCTCCATTTCCTTGTCAACAAGATGAGCGGCTTAGATGAGATGAACCTGAGGACCCAGTTTATTGTGATCCTCAAAAACATGTCCAGTTCCTGTGACCCATCAGCCCAAGCACAGCTCCCTGCTACCAGGGAGCCCCAGGGCAGGAGCCGGGCTTCCTACTCTGGCTCCTCGGCTCCCTAGCACCATGCCAGGTACTGTGGCACCTGGCGGCAGCAAAGCATGTCAGCAGGTAGCACAGCCAATTGACGGGGTGTAGAAACAGGTAATGCGGCCAGATGACGTGGATGGAGCCCGCGGCCCCTCTCGGCTTAGCTGTGTGCCTTGGGCAGGTCACTTAACCTCTCACTGAGTGATGAAAGTCCCCACTCACCCAGAGCTTTATGCCTTTTTTTTTTTCAATCCTCCCAACAAACCTCGAGGGAGATATTAACGTCCTCATTTTGCAGAGGAAGGAGAAAATCATACTTACCTCATAGGTTTTTTGGCAGGATGAAAGGAGGCCAGCGTGCAGGGCATGAATGGTTCACGTGAGAGCAAGTGGCTTGGGACTCACAAAGCCCGGTCATGTTCCCACGCAATCCTCAAGACAACACACTTACGCTCCCAGGAGGGGAGCACCCCCCTCCTGGCTCAGCCCCCGACCTAACTGCCCCCTCGAGCCTTCCCCACCGGGCCACTGGGCAGATCTGCGCGCGCCCCTCAGCCGGCCAGGAGCCACAGGGTGCAGGGTGGACTGACATGAGGTGGCGCTTGGAGACCGAGTGGCAGCAGACCAGCTTGACGCCGGGGCGGGGGTGAGGGGTCTCACCGCTGCAGGAGAAGCCGTCCCGGTGCAGCTCATAGCCCTGGTGGCAGCGGCACAGGAAGGTCCCGTAGGAGTTGAAACAGCGCTGCTCACACGGGGCCCCCAGGTCGCATTCGTTCACGTCTGGGGATGCCGGGAAAAGTGGGGGGGTGAAAGCAGAGGAGCAGCCCCAAGCCCCTGCCGGATCCCGGCTGGGGAGGAAGGGGGCAGCCCCAAGCCCCGCCACCCTGCCCAGGCCCCAGGAGCCCGGCCTGGCCCCGCCTCACCCACACAGGAGCGGTTGTTGGGCCCCAGCTGGAAGCCTGGCTCGCACTGGCAGCGGAAGGAGCCCGGCAGGTTCACACAGCGGTGCTGGCAATAGCGGTAGCGGCATTCGTCTATATCTGGGGGGAAGGGACAGTGGGCAGAGGGCAGGTGGACTCGAAGACCCGCAAACGATGTCTGAGGGTGTCTGGGGCTGGCGGGCTGGGCCAGGTCAACCAGGCCCCCCAAACAGGCCTGTATCTAATCACCGAGCACAGGGGGCAGGGCTGGGGTAAAACCCAGGCATGGAATGGGGTCAGGTGCCAGGGTCCCAGGGTGGAAGCCAGGCCTGAGTACCCATGCAGGGTGCAGGAGCCCCTCCTGGGACTCACCCACACACTCAGGCCCGACCTTCCGGTAGCCATCGGGGCAGGTGCACTGGTAGGAGCCGGGCAGGTTGTGGCACTGCTGGCTGGGACGGCAGTCGTGCAGGGCCTGGGCACACTCATCCACGTCTGTGGAAAAGAGCAGTCAGAGCCCACTGGCGGCCCCCAGGCACCAGTGTGGTAGCCCAAGGCAGGACACAGGCTGAGTGGCACTCAGGAGCACATGGGTGACCAGTACCCCAAGACAGGCATGCGAATCAGACCTTCCCCACGACATAAATGACACCCCACCAGGCTGGGAGCTACAGGAGATGAGGTACCCCTTGCTTGTGAGACCCCATACCGGGAAAGCACAGGATACAAAGCCTCGCCCAAACCCCACGGGGTGCTATTACAGGCCCCTCCTTCCTTGACGGCAGGAGCCCGGCAGCTCAAACTGTGCCCTCACTGGTCATAGTCTTATCTGTGTCTCTATGTCTGGGAGGTGGGGCCAGGCTGCCAGGAGCCCCAACACTGCCACACGTACCCCCTGTGTCTGGTGACAGGACAGCAGAGGTGGCAGGAGACTGCAATGAAGCTTGGAGGTGAGCTGGAGTGGGGCCCAGCCCTGGGGACCCAGGGGCGAGGGCCGGACCAGGAAGGGGGCAACGGGCTGAGGCAAAACTTCTGCAGGGCCAGCAGCAATGGAGGGAGGGCTCAGGGACAGGTCCCCGTGGCAGGCCATGGCCCAGGGGCCCTTTAGAACTGGGGAGGAACGTGACATGTGGATGGGGTTACAGTGGGAGAATTTTGTTGGGAAACAAGCAGCCTCGGGCTCAGGTGACCCCCACTCACCCACACAGCTCTCGTGCTCATCGGGCTCATAGCCTGGAGGGCAGGGGTTGGGGTGCTGAGCCGGGGGCACTGGTGGTGGGGGCCCCTCGCCATGCAGGTCGTTGATGACAGCAGCTGAGCGGGGCAGGCACAAGTATCCCCCGTAGTGGTTGATGCATTTCATCTCCCCCTTGCAGGCCTCGGGGATGGTCAGGCACTCGTTGACATCTGCAGAGAGGGGCCTGCTGGGCACAGCCAGTCTCGGGGGCTGGCCCTGAGGTGTGGCAGGCAGGAACCCGGCTTGGCCTTCTCTAAGCAGTGGGACCCGGGCGAGGCCTTCCCTCACTGCTCAACAAGCTGAGACAGATGGGTCCGGGAGCCCTCACAGAGTCTGTGAGGAAGATGTGGGGCGCAGGGGGCAGCAGGTTCCCACCAGCACGCTCCCTGCTGCCTCCACGTGGGTCTCTGTCCCTGTCCAAAGCCCTGGCCCTGTCTCAGCCCAGGCTGACATGCAGGCCACCTCACCCCACCGCGGGCTGCCCTTCCGGGGCTGGTGGGGCAGAGCGGCACAGGAGCTGTGTCCTGTGGGGCTTGCCCCGTGGCTCCCCCGCGGGCTCCCTGAGTTTCTCTGAGGGGGAGGGGCCTGGATGTCTTCTCCACCCCTGCTGCTCTGGCCCCCGAGAACAGGAGCTGGCAGAGGACAAGCCACTGGTTCTGGCCGCAGCCCTGGGAGGTGGGGTTGTCCTTGGGAAGCAGCAACCCCCTTCCTATTCCTGGGGGGGTCAGCCCCCCAGGCACACTCACCCCGGCAGTGCTGGCTGTCAGGGTCCCACTCATAGCCATCTGTGCATTCCTAGAAGTGGCCAGAAGGGGGTCAGTGGGCACCCCCAGTCCCCTCCAACTGGCCAGGCCAACACCAGGGCCTGAACCTGGCCACCCTCCCAGCCTGCTCTAAACAATGGCACCCCAGCTGCGCCATCAACCAGGGGAGAGGAGAATCTCCCCCACCCACCCCCAGAGCCTGGTCTCCGTGTCCCTGCCCAGCCCAGCAGGGGCCAGTACCCCACTGTCCCCACCGTGTAGCTGTCCGGCTCCTCTGAATCCTGGGGAGAGGCTGCCCCCAAGAGCAACAGCAGCAGCGCCCAAAGCAGGAGAGAGCCCGGGAGGCAGGAGGCACAGGGGAGCATCCTGGTTTGGGGAGGTGGTGGGCAGGGTCAGTGTGCCTCTGCCAGGCAGCCCCCATGCCAGTTCCAAGACTGAGAGCGCGACCCAGCCGCCTCCCGCACAGGGCCGTGCCTGGGGTCCCTGAGCCCCTCAGGGCTGAGGGCCCACTTGTCGCCCCAGCCCCGAGTTCGCGGCCCACCAGCCTCAGGGCCGCCCCGCCCCCGCCCGGTCCCGGTCCCCCAGCGCCCAGGCCGGCCGCGGTGCGCGGGCCTCTCGCCTCCTAGCTGACGCCGACTGGGCCTCCTCCCGGCTCGGCCCTCCTCCGACAGACGGTCACTCACTTGGGCCCGCGACGCCCCCTCGGCCCGAGGCTCCGCGGCTCGGCTGGCTCCGGCAGGGCCTGCGGGCAGACGGACCGGTGGACGGCGCAGCTCCCTGGACGCGCGGCCCCAG